CAGGCAAAACACCAATGCACATAAAATAAAAATAAATAAATTATAAAAATGAGAGAGATAAAAAAATAAAACAACAAAAAACAAGCCAGGTGTTGGTGGCGCACGCCTTTAGCCCCAGCACTCAGGAGGCAGAGGCAGGCAGATCTCTGTGAGTTCAAGACCAGCCTGGGCTACAAGAGCTAGTTCCCGGACAGCCTCCAGAGTCACAGAGAAACCCTGTCTCAAAAAAACCAAAAAAAAAAATAGAACTTATATTCTATATATGTGTCATGTACTATGTGTATAGTATATAATATCCCATGCTAAGTCTTTGTAGGCACATATCACTTTAACAACACAGATTTTTTTAAACTTAAAAATTAGTCTATTTTCATTTGACAACAAAGAAATCCTTGCTCTGTCTAGTATCTGCTTTTATGGAAAAAAATCAGTATTGTATCTTTGGCTAGAGTCCATTGTTGAGAAGCTCTCAGCAGGAATACAGTAGAAATCTGTAGTCTGACTGAGGCTAGATTTCCTATTTTATTATCAGAAAAGAAATGATAGAGCAAAATGCTTCTATAGCCTAGTCTTTCTGGACCATTCCTATATACAGAATAAAGAGATAATATATGATCTTTAAAAGAAGACGTCCATCCACTGAGTACATTCTGCAGAACAATATCTCTATAGGCACACACATAGTGCTGGTGTATAATAAAAATCTTCTTGATCAAGGACAACACATTTTAATGGCTTGGGAATTAAAATCTGGCTTCAGCAACCCCTTTGCCCTGTTGCAGTAAATTAAATTTAATGCTGACAGGAGCAATACACGTTAGACTCCAGAGCGATAAATTTAAACACCGAATTAATGCAACTGGACTAAAATGGGAGGGGGGTGGTCTTGAAAGCACATCATGGGCAGAACTGGTACCTGTAGCAATTGTTCTTTTCGTAATGGGGGAATCAGATCTAAGAAGGAGAAACGCACAATCAACTTCTGTCTCTGAAGCCTCGGGGATTGTGGGAGCTGGATGGTATGTTCCCATTCAACTTGCATTAGCAGTATTTTATGAGCAGGTTATTAGACCTCACTGTTACAGAAATACCATTGTGAAAGAAGCTCAATGGAAGGACATTGTAAATACATGCTGGAAGGTTAGGAAATGTGTCTTTAACAAGAGGGTAACTTTTCACTCTTTTTTTCTGCCTCATAGATGTAAGCCAATTTTAAAACAAGTATTTAATTTTCAGAAAATGTGGACTTTATTTTTGTATGGGTTAAATGCTCCATCAAACACTTAAAGCAGTAGGCATTAGAGATGATCATTTTGCTTATCTTATTGAAATATTCCCTCCACCTCGTACTTGATATTCCACTGTAACCATCCCTTACTTTCTCTATACTGCTAGGGCCTCCTTTGTTTATGGGGACTCTTCTCTATGCATCACAGTGAAGATGAGCCCTAACTTGGCCAGATGAATGATAGTCACCTACGTTGACCACAGTGGTTCCTCTCCTGCTTCTAAGATCAGGTATGAACAAGAGACTTAGTTCTGATCAATACATCACAAAATGCAATCTGCTGAGAAAGTTCTGGAACTCTTGTTGCTTTGAAATAGCATTTCATGTGGGTCTGACTGGCTTGGAATTCATTGAATACCAAAGGATAGCTTTAATTCACTGCAATTCCTGTATTCGGTTTCTAAATGATAGGGTCAGAGGTTACTGCCAAAGTGCCCTTGAGAAATATTTAGGCAGACATGTATCTTATTGAATATTGCAGTGCTCACATATGTTGCCTAGAATTGAGGTCAGTTTCCTGGGACTGGAAGGGAGGACAGTCCAAGAGGAGCATTGGTAGGTGATTTGTGATTTGGGTATCTTGCTAGATGTGAAACATTTCTGTGTGGCTCAGCAGTTAAGAGCACTGGCTGCTCTTTCAGAGGACCTGGGTTCAGTTCCCAGCACCCATATAGCAGCTCACAACTATCTGTAACTCCAGTTCCAGGGGATCTGACATCCTCATATGTAGGATATGCAGGCAAAACACCAATGCACATAAAATAAAAATAAATAAATTATAAAAATGAGAGAGATAAAAAAATAAAACAACAAAAAACAAGCCAGGTGTTGGTGGCGCACGCCTTTAGCCCCAGCACTCAGGAGGCAGAGGCAGGCAGAGT